CCCGGCATCGGCGAGGTGCTGTTCATCACCCAAGCCCAGCGGGACCGGCCCTGCCGCCAGCTGGCAGTTCCTTCGTCTTTAAAGGGGATGTTATTAGCAGTTACGTCTTACAGTTACTCTGGAGATGAATGTGGACCAAGACCTGCAAACACTAGCATGGGCCCGGCATAGCGGGCACCCAGGAAACGCCCGCTCTGCCTGTCACGGGGAGAAAGAGCCCTGAAGGCCTTCCAGGGCCACACACACTTGCTGCTGCTTTTCTTGTTCCCGTCCTATTGTCACATGGTTCCAGCTCTGGGGTGTCCTTAGAGCAACGGAAGATGGCAGCCCTCATTCACCCCATTCACCCCGTGCCAGGCCTCTGTCCACACGGCTCCCCTGGGTCTCCCAGGGGTAACTCAGGCCTTCCGGGGCAAGGTCAGGCCCCGGGCTCTCTGCACTGGTCCATGGCAGGGTGGGTGGGACAGATCCCAGGGCTTGTTGAGGTTTGGGGGTGGGAGGTGATTTTAAGGGGTCACCATGTGGGGCCCCGCTGGGTCCTGCCATGGCGCCGCGTGTCGGTTTCAGAACAACTCCATTGCCGACGAGTACACCGTGGACATCGTGGGCAACCTGCTCTGCCACTTGCCGGCGGCCATCATCCAGCACGGAGTATCCCCCAGGGCCTGGGCCACGGCCCTGCACGGCCTCAGAGCCTGCCCAGAGCTGATCCCCGAGCAGAGGGCTGCGGTGAGGCTGCGGCTGCTGGAGCAGCACGGGTGAGCAGGTCGGGCGCCGCTGCAGGTGGGCCTGGCTGGCAAAGGGGCACGAGCCCGGCCCTCCGGCCCTCAGACAGAGAGTCTCTTGCCTAGGATGAGGACACTTGCATTTATTCTGCCAATTGGTCTTCTTTTGGCCTCAGACTCCCTGTAAAGTGAGAACCATGGTAGCTGCTTTCAGGCCTCACATGGCTGTCCCCACACATCTTGGCATACGGAAAGGGAAAGCGTTGTTGTTATGACATAATAATAATGACAACGGTGATGATATAAATAATCGAGGTATTGTCACTCTCAGTGAGCGAGAATTCCCTGGGAAAACAGAACTGTTTTTTCCCATCTGAAATTTGGTCAGATAGTGGAGTAGGGCCTAGCCATCAGTCAATGGTTAGACAACAAATGTTTTTGAAGAAATGGCTGTATCCCAGGCACTGTACTATTATATAGAGTTAAGAGTATGGAGTTGGGAGCAAGACTCCTTGGGTTAAAATTTTGTTTCTATCATCCACTGCCTGTGTGACCTGGGAAAATTTACCAAATTTCTTTTCACATCTGTAGAATGGGGCAGTGACAGTCCCCATAGGACTGGTGTGATGAGGAACTGAGTTAATGCATACAAAGTATTACAGCAGTGCCCAGCACACAGTACTGAGTATGTGGCAACTGTGCTACTGTTAGAACCAAAGATGTGGCAGTTCATGAGATGGGTGTGGTTCCTGTCCTCACGGAGCTAAGGTCTAGTGGGATTATATATATATATTAGAGGCTGGGTGCACAAATTTTGCACATTGAAAGGAAATTAATTAGAAGAAATATTTTAGAGCCTGGGGAGGGACCACGGGAGGTTGGCTCCAGGGCGTGTCCAGCCCGACTCGCCCAGTCCTTATTGGCCCGACCCCAGCAGCAAAGCTCACTTATCGGTCGGAGGGTCTGCCCCCTGGTGGTCAGTGCACATCATAGTGACTGGTCGAACGGTTGAATGAACGGTCGGATACTTAGCATATTAGGCACACACACACACACACACACACACACACACATATTGTTAATCCTCACCGAGAATATTTTTCCATTGATTTTTGGACAGAATGGAAGGGAGATGGAGAGACCGAGAGAGAGAGACATTGATGTGAGAGAAAGACATCAATTGGTTGCCTCTGCACTCGCTTCCTGACCAGGGTCAAGGATTGAGCCTGCAACCGAAGTAGGTGTCCTTGACTGGAATCGAACCCGGGACTCTTGAGTCCGTGGGCTGGTGCTCTATCCACTGAGCAAACCAGCTAGGGCTGGAATAATACTAGTATTTTTAATCTAAGACAGTGGTTCTCAACCTTCCTAATGCCGCGACCCCTTAATACAGTTCCTCATGTTGTGGCGCCCCTCAATTTCATTGTTACAAATTGAACATAATTAAAGTATAGTGATTAATCACAAAAACAATATGTAATTATATATGTGTTTTCTGATGATCTTAGGCTGCCCTTGTGAAAGGGTCATTCGACCCCAAAGGGGTCACGACCCACAGGTTGAGAACCGCTGATCTAAGAGATAAGGGGGAGCTTTTTGGCCAGGGTTGGCTTGCGTAGGCCTAAGAGAGGGGTTATCGCTACTAACTGGGCAGCCCTCCTAGAAATGCCACCAAATATGGTGTGAGACACTTTACTGTAGACAGTTGTGGTCTCTGTACAAACAACAGTGGATTCTGTATTAGTGCTGTCAGTATCCTGACAACTTCAAGAGGACATTTTGTCTAGTTATAAGGGAAGACTCTTATAGCAATTTAAAGAAACACATAGATCATTACTGTTCTATTGAAGAAGCGGGGGAAGGAAATGACTGAAATTTAATAATTCAATTCAAGCTACAAATGGGAATTTGTTGAGTTCAGAAATTGAATGTAATGGAAAACTGCAGGGATGGACTTCAGGCATGGTTGGATCCAGGAGCTCAAATGGTATCATCAGGAATTTTTCTCCTATCACTCAGCTCTGTGTTCTTGGGTGTGGTTTTATTATCGCCACTGGTGATAGGAGTGGCCTCCAATATCCTTTTTACTACTCCAGATACCAGAAGAAAGAGAGAGAGAGCTTCTTTAGTAGTTCCATCAAAATTCCTAGGGATGGTTCTGATTGGTCAGCCTGCATCACATGCACATTGGCTTGGCCAGGGAAGTGGGCCCATGTGATTGACCGTCTCTCCACACAGGAAGATAGTCTATTTCTGAAAGAAAGGCTGCTGGGGACAAGGACAACAGCACGGCTTCCAATTTATTGCTGATTATCTCTTCTTAGACCCCCTCAGAACTGGACGGCCGAGACGACGAAGGACTTGGGACCCTTCCTAGTACTTTTCTCAGGAGATGAATTAAGCTCTGTTGCCGCAAAGGTACCTCTGTGTTCGCTTGTTCGGAGGCTGGAGGGGTCTGAAGGGGAGAGACAGTGTGGCCCGTCACACTCCCCTGGGTTTGCTGCCAGTTTGTTTTCTGGAACTTGCTCCCTGCCCCAAGGGCTCAGATGTTGGCAGCTCCACCCCAGGACGCTGAGGTGCAGGACGAGGGAGTGCGGCCATCGCTGCCTGAGCTCCGACCCCTCCATGTGCCCTCTCGCGGGCGCGCAGCCTGCCGGCTGTGATTAGCTATCGCTCTGCTCTTTCTACACGCATGCTTGTTCCAGGTCTGCATGCACTGGTGCCATGTGCACACACACGCCAGCCTGTGTGAATGGCGTACACTTACATTATTGAACATTTGTTGAGTTATTACAGAGGTTGAGTGTTGTTTTATATGATCCTTTGTAGAAACCAGGTTAGTTGGGCTGGGGTTAAATTTATGAGAGAAGCTGCTAAGAGGGAAGGAAAACCGGAGCCAGTAAGTCCTGGCGTAGCTTACCCTGCTTCAGTTTGTGTTTACTGCGCTTTAGTATTGTTCTTCCTCATTCACCTTCTCTACCTCACACAGTTTCCTGATATCCTTCAGCAAGCAGCTTCCAAGATGGTCGGGATCTTGCTCCCCAAAGAATTCCTCTGGGCTGTCTTTGAATCTGTTCGGAACAGCAGTGAGAGGGGCCCTGGCGCTGCCCCCAGCCCTGGTGAGTGAACGGGGTGCCTGAGCCCGTGCCATGCACGAGAGTTTCAGCGGAGTCGCTGGCATCAAGAGGCCTCCTCTCTGGGGGACTGGACTGGTGAAATGATTGCAAAGCAACAGGGTGGCAAGAATCCACACACCAACCGACCCCCCTTATGTAGTGACTTGAAGGCACGGCTGCGTCCAGACCCGGCCGTAGTTCCTGGTGGACGCGGGCAACCGCATTTCACTACGGCTGCTTCAGGGCCCCAGGGGCTGAGAGGCTGTTTGCAGTGCTGGGCCAGGCTGGCTGGGTTTGAACCCTGGGTCTGCTGCGTGCTGACTGTGTGATCTGGGTTAGCTTTTTAACTTCCCGGTGCCTCAGTGTTCGTCCTCTGTAAAACGGCACAGTACAAGTTCCTACCGTAGTAAACCTGAGTAAAGCATGTCAAACTCGCGGCCGGCGGGCCGCATGCCTCGTTTATTATGCGGCCTGCGGGCCATGAGTTCGACATGCTTGTGTGAGGACTAATGGGTTTAAACCTCTAACATGTTCCCACGGAGCCTGGCATATAGGACATGCTCAGGGAGTGTTAGGTGTTTTTATTTAAAAAATGTACTTTTATTGATTTCACGTTCAAATGTTTTGGGGGTAGCCAGACAGTAAATGACGCAGTCCTATGTTGAGTGGTGCTAAGTGCCGCGAAGGAAAATAAACCAAGGGAAGGGGTCAGGGAGTATGGGTGGGACTGTCATTTGAAAGGGACGTTTCAGTGAGACCCTGACACTCGAGTAGAGACCTGAGGGGATGTGGGAGGGGCCGTGACATTGGGCTTTAGAGTGTTCCAGGCGGAAGGACGGTGACGGGGAGGGGTGACACCGGCCTGCCCTCGGGGCCTTGGCGAGAGGCCTGAGCCCTGGGCCGCGCCCTGGGGAGGGGCTCCCTCCGGGCGTCCAGCAGAGAGCGGTCCCACCTGATTTATGTTTCCCGGGGAGGCCGCCCCTCCTCGTGCTGTCTCACCCTCCCCTGCCCTGTGAGGTGGGCACAGTGATCGCTCCCATGTTCTCCCCGAGGAAATGGAGGTTTGGAGAGACGAAGAGAGGGGCTCCCTCCGGGCGTCCAGCAGAGAGCGATCCCCCCTCTCACCCTGGGGAGGGGCTCCCTCCGGGCGTCCAGCAGAGAGCGATCCCCCCTCTCACCCTGGGGAGGGGCTCCCTCCGGGCGTCCAGCAGAGAGCGATCCCCCCTCTCACCCTGGGGAGGGGCTCCCTCCGGGCGTCCAGCAGAGAGCGATCCCCCCTCTCACCCTGGGGAGGGGCTCCCTCCGGGCGTCCAGCAGAGAGCGATCCCCCCTCTCACCCTGGGGAGGGGCTCCCTCCGGGCGTCCAGCAGAGAGCGATCCCCCCTCTCACCCTGGGGAGGGGCTCCCTCCGGGCGTCCAGCAGAGAGCGATCCCCCCTCTCACCCTGGGGAGGGGCTCCGGGCCGTCCAGCAGGAGCGATCGGACCTCTCACCCCGGGGAGGAGCTCCGGGCGCCCAGCAGAGAGCGATCGGACCTCTCACCCTGGGGAGGGGCTCCGGGTGCCCAGCAGAGAGCGATCGGACCTCTCACCCTGGGGAGGGGCTCCGGCGTCCAGCAGAGAGCGATCCGACCTCTCACCCTGGGAAGGGGCTCCGGTGTCCAGCAGAGAGCGATCGGACCTCTCACCCCGGGGAGGGGCTCCGGTGTCCAGCAGAGAGCGGTCCCACCTGATTTATGTTTCCCGGGGAGGCCGCCCCTCCTCGTGCTGTCTCACCCTCCCCTGCCCTGTGAGGTGGGCACAGTGATCGCTCCCATGTTCTCCCCGAGGAAATGGAGGTTTGGAGAGACGAAGAGATGCGGCCACAGTCACAGCGTCAGTAAGTGGCAGCTCTTGGGTGTGTCCCCCAATACGGGGGAGTTCACCGCTGTCCTCAGAGCCTCGCAGCCAGAGGTCAGGTTGCAACACTCCTCGTCTGCACACGGGAGGACGCGGCTCAGTGCGTGGTCTGAGCTGCCAGCAGGGCTTCTGGGTGAACTGCCGCTGTGCTTATAGCAGCTGGTGGCTTAGCAGGGTTATGACTTGGCTTCATTTCAGTTAACCTGCGTGTGTGCCGATTCGTTCAACAAATACATGCTGCGCACCTGTCCTGTGCCCGGAATGCAGTGGCGGGACAGCTCTGGTCGCACTGCTGGCCGTTCTGGTCCTCTGGGTCCCCACTCTCCCCCACCCCCCACCTGTTTTCCCTGGGGCGGGGGAGGGCAGCCAGGAGGGTGGGTCTTCTGTCCCCTCCGAGTGGGTTAGGATAACAATGTTTGAGGGCTGCACACAGTGCCCCTGACCTGGTCCAGTTCCACCTCTTGGTTGGAATCCAGCGAATTTGCATTGCAGATGCCCCGAGAGGGGAGTGGCACAGGCGTGGGAAGCGCCGGGTGGGGCTGGTGCTGGCGTCTTGTCAGCATCGGGCGTCCAGGGTTGCTTTTAAGACAAGGAGCGGTGGGTTGTCTCCCTGGTGGGCACCTCTGGGCCACAGTCTCTCATCTCCGTGTTGAGTTTGGTAGCTGGTTTACCAGGCAGGATTTCAGCTGTTCAGAGTGAGATGGTGGTTTCTGCTGCTGCAACAAAGCCACAGCCCACTTCTCCTCCCTGGGACGGAAGGCCTCAGCCCCTCCACGGTTTTTATGGAGGGCAAGTCATCCTCCCGCCCCACTCTTAGGAGTGGTCCTTTCTCATATTCTGAAACCCTTAACTCTGGGTTTTAAACTCAAATGGATGGGTGGTGGCAGGTGGCGTTAATAATAGAAGTGTGTACTGAGTGCTCACTGCCTCCCTGACACCACGTGCTTTGTGGGTGATAACGCGGAGTCCTCACAAGAGTCTGACAGGGTGACTTCCCCTCGTTGTCTGTGGAGGAAGCAGGTACGGAGGGTTAAGTAGCTTTGGGTTTGAATTTGCAACCAGGATCTTCACCAGCAGCTCCTGCTGCCCTCAGGGCAGTTTGCAGTCTAGCTGTGATGCAGCAAAACTACTGGGTGCATGTGGCTGTGCAAAACATTGGCATTTTCATGATTTTGTTACCAGGTAATTAGCGAGAAATGGCAGAAGTGGGGCTCAAACGGTCCCTGTTCCCTGCTGTCAGCTCCTCCATTGCATTGGCTCTCGGGGATGGAGCCGACAGTAGCATTACTCATGTCAGCACAGAAACACTCCATTTCCTGAGCTGCTTCCCCCCCCCTCCCCCGCCCCTGTGTCTCCCCGTCCGTCTCAGGTTGCCATGGAGTTGAGGCTCCCTCTTCCGAGGACATCTTCAAGTTGGCCGAAGCCAATGCCTGCTGGGCCCCCCAGGACCTGCGCTGCCTGGAGGAAGCCACGTTCCTCAGGAGCGTGGAGCTTCTGGGGGCCGTTCGGGGCTTCCTCCGGCCTCAGCTGACCGCCCTAAAGGAGAAGGCGATCCAGGTACAGTCCACCTGGGAGGGATGTTAACAAGGAAAACCCACCACCACGCGCCCAGTGGGTCTGCCACGGAGCGCCGAGCCAGCAAGGAGCGTCACCTGTTTTCTTGTTGCAATTTCACTGCGTGAAGGATCCAGGCCTCCCCTCTGTACCTCAGTTTCCTCCCCAGGCTGAGCAAAGACTGTCCAGTGGGCGCTCTGTGAACCCCATTATGGGGGAACCCATCCTGTGGGTGAACCCCACCTGTAGTGAACCCCATTCGAGGGTGAGCCCCATTCGCGGGTGAGCCCCATCCTGAGGGTGAACCCCATCTGTGTAAACCCCATCTGTGGGTGAACCCATCCTGTGTGTGGTCTGGGCCTGAACAGGATGGTTTCTAGGAGGTGCTCTTTTTCTTCCTCCCCCAGAGCCCCAGCTGAAGAGAACCAGAAGAAGTTTGCCATTTTTATTGTTTCAGCTGTTAGGAGAAAGAGCCCCAGCTGAAGAGAACCAGAAGTTTGCCATTTTTATTGTTTCAGCTGTTAGGAGAGTTGTAGAATATATTACTAGAGGCCCGGTGCACAGCATTCATGCACTGGGGAGGGGGTCCCTCAGCCTGCCTGTGCCCTCTCGCAGTCCAGGACCCCTCAGGGGATGTCCGCCTGCCGGCTTAGGTCCGCTTGCTGCTCCTTAGCACTGCCTCAGAGGCAGGAGAGGCTCCTGCCACTGCTGCTGCGCTCGACAACTGTGAGCCCGGCTTCTGGCTGAGTGGCACTCCCCCTGTGGGAGCGCACTGACCCCCAGGGGGCAGCTCCTGCATTGAGCATCTGCTCCCTGGTGGTCAGTGCACATCATAGCGACCAGTCGTTCCTCCGTTCGGTCGATTTGCATATTAGGGTTTTATTATATAACACCGGTTCTCAACCTGTGGGTCGCGACCCCTTTGGCGGTCGAATGACCCTTTCACAGGGGTTGCCTAAGACCATCCTGCATATCAGATATTTACATTACGATTCATAACAGTAGCAACATTACAGTTATGAAGTAGCAACATAAATAATTTTATGGTTGAGTCACAACATGAGGAACTGTATTTAAAGGGCCAGAAGGTTGAGAACCATTGTTATATAGGATTACAGAAAAGTCAGAAAATAAGAAAGAAGATTAGTCATAATCTCTCAGCTAGAGATAAGCACTGTTAATATTTTGGTATATTCACCTGGAGCTAACTAGATTTCTGTGTATACTAGTATATGTAAAATATATTTACTATTTCATACTAAAAAATAGTATCACACTTACCTACTATTCAATAACATCAGCCCACACCCAACACTATACAATGTGTATTTTCCACATCAGAAATATAAATTTATGTCCGTATTTTAAAAAGCTATATAATATTTTATTTTATGACTGGTTCTTATTTATTTAGCTAATTAGTAGACTTTATTATTTTTTAAAATATATTTCTATTGATTTCAGAGAGGAAGGAAGAGGGAGAGAGAGATAAAAACATCAATGATGAGAAAGAATCATTGACTGGCTGCCTCCTGCACACCAAGTCATGTGCCTTGACCAGGAATCAAACAGTGACCTCCTGGTTCATAGGTTGACACTCAACACCAGCTGAGTGTAATTGGTAGACTTTTAGATTGTTTATATTTTTAATGCCTCAAGGTCCATATTTACACATATTTCTTTGGGTACTTGTCTCATTATTTACTTAGGTTAAATTTCCAGAGATAGAATTTCTGAGTAAAAGAGTATAAATATTTTTAAAACTTTTTTTATATACTAGAGGCCTGGTGCACAAAATTCATGCAGTTGGTGGGGGGGGGGAGGGGTGTCCCTCAGCCTGGCCTGTGCCCTCTCGCAGTCTGGGAGACCTCGGGGGATGTCTGACTGACGGCTTAGGCCTAAGCCGTCAGTTGGACATCCTTAGCGCTGCCGCAGAGGCATGAGAGGCTCCTGCCACCGCCGCTGTGCTTGCCAGCCGTGAGCCCTGCTTATGGCTGAGCGGTGCTCCCCCTGTGGGAGTGCACTGACCAGCACCAATAAATGCTCATTCTTTTTACTCCTTATCAGTATCATCAGCCTACATGGTGTTCTTTGATTGTTATTAATGTACATTTTAAAAAGTTATGACTGAGAGGGAATTTCCCCTCATATGTTTATTTATTCTTTTTTTAAAAAATATATATATATTACTGATTTTTTACAGAGAGGAAGGGATGTGCCCGCAACCAAGGTACATGCCCTTGACCGTAATCGAACCTGGGGCCCTTGCGTCCGCAGGCCGACGCTCTATCCACTGAGCCAAACCAGTCAGGGCTGTTTATTTATTCTTTTAGCAATTTTCTGTTCATATCTTTTGCCTATTTTTAAAACAAATGTAATCATCTTTTTCTTAATGATTCACAAAAAAGTTTATATATTAAAGAGGTTTACCCTATGTCTGTTTTAAATACTGTCAGTGAAGCTCAGTCTAAGCTGGCTTCTTTCCCTCGGAAGGTCTGGGACACGCCTGCTTACTGGAGAGAACACCATGTCGTCTCGCTGGGCCGCATTGCTCTGGCTCTTAACGAGAGTGAGCTGGAGCAGCTGGACCTCCGCTCCATCGACACCGTGGCTTCCCTGAGCCAGCAGTCAGAATGGACCCCCGGACAGGTAGGTAGATGTTGCTGCACAGGACGGTGCCCAACAAACCAAGCCACCCCGTCCAGGCCTGGATCTTTCAAATACTCCATCATCACTGTCATTTTGAATCTGTTTTTATGGAGTTATTTTTCTCCTAATTATGAGCCATGTTTTCTTATATGCAAGCAGAATAATTTTGACTGGCTGGTGGGCACTGTGAGTTTTATAGTTTTGAGTGCTCGATTTAGTTATACTCCTTTGACGAGTACGGGGCTTTGTTCTGCCACACATTTAAATGACCTTAGATCAGTTTGACTTGGGGGCCTTCCTTTTGAAGTTGACTAGGGTAAGTGTAGAGTGACTTTCATTTTGCGGTTAGTTATCCCCATGACTGCGACATGGTTCTGAGAAGAGTGCCTAATACCGCTCTGTGTATTTCAAGACCTCTCTCGTCAGGCTGGTGGGAATGTGGACTCTCTCCAGCTCCATATGAGCCCTGAGAATTGTCCAGCCCACTGCGTTCTGATGCCTCGTCCTGATATTTACGTGGAGTTTTGCTTCCTGCCTGTGTAGATCAGTACTCAGGTGACTTGAGAAGACCTCCCTGCAGATCTCTGGAGTGAGCTGTCTGTGCAGGGCTTTCCTCGCCAATTATAGGTGCCCTGACCTCTCCAAACGAGATCTCCGTATCCTCAACTAAGCTGGACCACTGGGCGTGTTTGGATTCTCTTCCCTGCTCCACGGCCTGGAAATGGCCTTTGGGCAGTGAACAAGGGCAGTTTTAGGGCTCACCTTACTTGCTTTCCTTTTCTTAGGATTATAGTCCAGTGCTGCTTGTTGTCCAACATCTGAAGACAGTCCTTTTATATGATTTGTTCAGTTTTCTTGTTGTTTTTTTTGTTGGAGGGCGAGTCCTGTGTCAGTTAATCCTTCATGTGCTAAAGAAGTTCTCTCCAGAATTTGTTTCAATTGCGAGGGAAGTTAATGTATTGCTAGCGAGGGGGTCTCCGCCGCTGTGTTATCTCATTCTCAGGGTCATCTTTAGCACTAGGCTTACACATGATCTAATTAACAACCCACAAAAACTACCCTTCCTCATCAGTCTTCGAAAAAGTCCAAGCATTGCCCTGGCCGGGTTGGCTCAGTGGATAGAGTGTCAGCCCAGGGACTGAAGGGTCCTGGGTTTGATTCCAGTCAAGGGCACATGCTTAGGCTGTGGGCTCGATCCCCAGTGGGGGGTGTGCAGGAGGCAGCCGATCCATGATTCTCTCTCATCATGACAGGTAGCTATCATGCACACGGATCGCCCCCTACCTGCCCCCCTACTGGCCTGGTTGCTCCCTAACTAACCCCCTGCCAGCCTGGTTGCCTCCAACTGCCCCCCTGCCGGCTAGGGGGCAGATGCTCAACACAGGAGCTGCCATGACACACACTGGCCATTTAAAAATAAACGGCACCATGGACCTGGTACCAACAAACCAACACTCGGCTTCCCCTAAGTGGGACACAGGCCCCGCCACCACCCTGGAGTGACACCTCTCCAAATTGCAGCCAACGCTGCCAAGACCCCATGGTGCAAAATGCGGCCCACAGCCCAGCCCAGCCCGAAACAGTCACTGTGGGCACCGGGTAATGACGTCATGTAGCAACGCCCGGCTTCCTCTCCCTAGCGACTAGCCTCCTTGGAGTTTCTTCAGCCCAGGAATCTAGCTTGCTTTATAGCCAGGTGCAAACATTTTACAATTTAACCAAATGTATATGAAGCATTTTCCTGTGCCTCATATCATTTGATCCTCACAGAAGTCCTGGAGTAGGTAGATAGGAAACTCGGTAGAATCCTATTTTCTTTTCATTAGCTGGAAAATGGAGATTTAGAAAGTTTAGAAACTTGACCCGACTGAAAAGAAGTAAGAAATGGTGGACCTTAAAATGACTTCAGGTTTTCTCACTGCACAGAATATAGTCAAACACTGCTGCAGTTAAATATTTTATCCTTTGTTCTCCCTGCATTATCTACAATAATAATCTACATCATGTTGATATTTACTGCTGTGTTGCTGACAATTACCTGAAAGAGAAGTTGGGTTGCTTCACTGGGCTAGAAAAAGTTTAGCTAAATCAGAAAGCAGGTCTAATTAAGCAAGTTTATATATATATATATATGGCTAAGTTTACTCACACATGAGTGATACATGTAAAGCTCTCACTGGCGCCAATTGCACGTGTGTGTTTCGGTCTGTCATTGTTGATCATGAATTTGGTTGACACGTCTATTATAGAGAAAGGGAAAATAGCGATATTAAAATATTTCTTCTAGTTAATTTCCTTTCAATGTGCACAAATCCATGCATTGGGACACTAGTCCTATATAATAAAAGGGTAATATGCAAATTGTCCCCTCGACTGGGAGTTTGACCAGAGTTCGATCAGGGGGTGGAGCCAGCCCGCCAACAGCCTGCGGCCCCTCCCCCTGGCCGGCCCTGCCCTATTGGCCCCGATCAGGACAGGCTGGCTGAACCCCACTGGTGCACAAATTTGTGCACTGGGCCTCTAGTATATGTAAAAAGAAAAAGTCCCAGCATTGACTCTCTCATGTGACTGCCTCTCCTGACAGCCGCTGTGGTCAGGGGTAGAATATGCCGCTGGCCAGGGTGTGGCTCCATCTCCCCATGTCCAGATGAACTGAGAGTGGGGTGGGTGTATGGTAGGCTTCATCCAGGTCCCCAAAGGTGTCTGGGTCCTGATCCCTAGAACCCGTGAATATGTTAGCTTGTGTGGCAAAGCACTTTGCAGATGTGATTAATTTAAGGACCTTGAGATGGGGAGTTACCCTGGATTGTCCGGTGAGCCCAATGTGATCATAAGTGTTCTCTTAAACGGAGGCAGGAGGGCCGCAGACAGAGGGCGTGATGGTGGAAGCGGAGGACAGAGACCTGAGGTGCGGTGCTGCTGGCTGCGGGGTGGAAGCCAGAGGCAAGGGGAGGACTTCTCTCTAGGCTCCAGGAAGAACGCCCTCCGACCCACTTGAGGACTTAGTAGCCCAGGGACTGTGATAGAATACGTGTGTGTTGTGTTAACCACTGCATTTGTGGTAAGTAGTTAGAGCAGCAAGAGGGAATCAATACTGAGTGCTTTGCCAAAGGCATGGTGTCAACAGAGAGAGAATGGATGCAGGGCAGGCAAACCAAGGCGTGTCCCCCACGCTCAGGACCACGTGCCACGAAAGGCTGAGTGGCCCCACTCAGATAGGACAGGTGTGCGTTGTGTCCGCTGGAGCTGGGTGATGTGGAGGGCCTGGCCACGAGGCTTCCATGAGCGAATACATGTGAAGCACCAAACAACGCCTGGCATAGAGCGTTCAGTCAGAATTAGTTGTTTTCATTGTCAGCATCGTCATCATTACACTTTCTCCTTCTGGCAGTTGAATGGTCTCATTTGCAAGATGAGAAGGTTAGACGCAGCGATCAGGTTCCTTCCACTCTGACATTCTGTAGTTCTGGGGTTCTGCGGCTCGCAAACTGGTTTTGACTGGTTTGAGAAGTGCCATTCCACATTTTGATATCAAAACCTTCCTAGCCACAGTCTGGGAGAAAGCAGAAAAACATACCCAACTTGGGAGCTAGAGTGTCTCTTTCCTTTTGCAGCAATATTCTGACATTCCGTAGTTCTGGGGTTCTGCGGCTCACAAACTGGTTTTGACTGGTTTGAGAAGTGCCATTCCACATTTTGATATCAAAACCTTCCTAGCCACAGTCTGGGAGAAAGCAGAAAAACATACCCAACTTGGGAGCTAGAGTGTCTCTTTCCTTTTGCAGCAATTTTAACTTCCACAGGTCGCAGTGAGATTTGTCCATATGTTTGAAGAAATGTGCAAACCTAATATTTGCTTGTATCATTTGTGCTCAGTTCCTCACCATTCGCTGTCAATCAAACCCTTAAGTGCATGTCCTCGATTAATAGACCAGGCGGAACTGCATTAACAGCGAGTCCAGCTTAAAACCAGCAGCAGGAGAAATAACCTCTTCTAGAAGCTGGCGAATGAACAGAGATCAGAGCTTACAGCTCTGCCTTGTTCAGTGGGTATTATTGCCTAAGAGTATTAGTATTAATTGTGCTGGGATCATTACAGATACCCTGGTCCCGTCATTCAAGTAACTGATTTAGCTCCTCACCGGGCAGGCTGAGCTTGCGTTTTCCAGCTTCCAGTGGCGAGGACGATTTAATACCACATCTTCCAAGTCATTTTATTTCAATTGTATTTTTGCACTTTCATTTTAAAATGGGCATGCCTGATAGTTGGGGGAGCACATATTACTACGAACCAATTAGTGAAACCTGGTTGTGAAGACTCATAAAAAGAGTCTATCTCTACCTTTTCTCCGACCCGACGTCTTCAGGAGGGCAGGCTCTGGGGTCCGCCTGCGAGTGTTATCCTAGGACTATTATTTACTAGCTGTGCAACCTGGGCTCAGTTACTTAATCTCTCTGCACCTCAGTTTCCTCCCCTGTGAAGTAGGGATAATATTCATACTTACTTCATGGAGTGGCTGTGATGAGTAGGTGAGGCGGGGTAGGTGAAGTGCTGGCACACAGTAGGCATTCAGTATTATTAGCTATTATTTTGGGTGCGTGTACATGCCAGTCAAAGACACTGAAGTGTGATTGTGGTGTCACTGAAGTTCCCCAGGGAACTGTGAGCTTGGCAATCATTACAGAAACATGGGAAATCTCCCTGAAGCCAATCCACCACACGGAGGCAGCATCGGATGCCATTTCCCAGGAGTACACATTGCCGACAACTTCTGTAGCTCGCTGTTCAGCTGTCCTTCATTCTCCATTCTCCACTGTGTGCCGGGCATTGTGCTCGGTGCTGGGGATACAATAGTGAACTGGCTGGGTAAGGTGTGTGTCTTTATTGGTTCTACTTGGTGATACAGACAAAAAACCGAGCGATTAAGGTGGAAAATTTAAAAAATTGTGATAAGTGAGAAGGATCAAGTGGACAAAGCACTCATAGAAACAGCAAGGAGGGAGGCTGCTTGAGATGGGAAAGCAACAGCCACATGAACACTGGAATTCCATTGCTACAAGTCACATTTTAAAAAAATATCCCAATCATTGCCAGAACTTTCAACACTGCATGATTCTCCTGGTGGGGGGCGGGGGGGATGGACTGAGGTTAAAGGAACACGGGACGTTCACGGTGTCCCTGTGATCCTCACTCCCATCCAAGAGGTGCTCGTCCTTGGCTGTCTCCTCCCCAGCTTTGCCTTGTGAGCTCTTGTCCTCTTGTATCTTTGCGGCGGCCCCCGCAAGCACTGAGGGCACCAGACCTTCTCACGCAGCTCTTCTCCAGTAGATTGACTCAGATCCTTCCTCAGGGCCAGCGCAGGCAGATCAAATACTATCAGGGCTCATTTCATTACAAGTGGCAGGAAGCCCAACTCAAAGTGGCTTGAGCAAGAAAAGGAATTTATTGATTGCCATAACTGCAAAGTTCAAGTGTAGAGTTCAGATATGGCTGGATCCAGGGACTTCAACACTATTATTAGGATTCTGTCTCCCACCATTTAAAAAGATATTTTTATTGATCTGAGAGGAAGAGGGAGGGAGAGAAAGACAGAAACATCAGTGATGAGAGAAGAACCATTCATTGGCTGCCTCCTGCACGCCCCACACTGGTGACTGAGCCCACAACCCGGGCATGTGCCCTGACCCGAAATCGAACCATGACCTCCTGGCTCATAGGTCGATGCTCAACCACTGAGCCATGCCAGCTGGGCTCCCGCCATTTTGGACCCAGCTTTCCTTTTGGTTGGCTTCATTAGAGGCAGGTTCTTTCCATGTGATGAGTTCTAGTAGAGTCAGGTGTTTTTCCTTCCCAGGTCCAGTCCAGAGTAAAGAAAGCTTTTCTCTCCTAATTATTCCAGCTAAAGACCTGGTAGGCTTTGACTGGATCACACGTCCAATCTAGAACCAATTACTGCAGTCCAGCTAAGAGATGACTTAGCTGGTCAGGAGCAGGCCATGGGATCACCCCTGGAACTCAGAATGCCCCCCAGAAAGGTCATAAACAATGGATGGCCATGGTGTAGAATTTCAAGGACCCTACACATCAGCCCCCTTACAGGAAAGTTCATTGAAGAGATCCCATGTTTTTTCAACACCACAGCATTTGATGTGCTGCTCTCTGGAACTGAAGAGTGAGGGAAACTTATGTAGGACCTTAGAGAAAGAAAGGTTCATTCTGGCTCAGATAGTCAGGAAAGACTTCAAGGATCTGCTCAAAGGCAGATGAGTGTAAGGTTTTGTCAGAAATCTGTGGAAACAGTTATTGGAAAAGTTTGGATTCTGGTGCAGAAGAACTTAAGTGTCCAAGCTTCTGAAGATCATGAGCGACTGAGGCAAAGCCAGGAGGCAGTTCCTTTAATGTTGGTGGAGGCTGCAAGAACTTCTGCCTACAGACACTTCCTTAGACCGGAGCACAGACCCGGAGGCCAGCCGGGTGCAGGGGCGCCATGGCTGGAATGGGCACTGGGTCTGGGAGTGGGTGGGGGATCCACCAGGAGGCTGCTGAGTTATCCCCTTAGGCCTCTTGATCACCCCTGGGTACTTCATCTCCCACCCCTCTTCACTTTTTAGGCTAAATCCATCCTGCAAGGGTTCCTGGAGGACTCAGGCTACCGCATCCAGGACCTGAAAAGCTTCCACTTAGTAGGACTTGGCACAACTCTGTGTGCCATGAATGTCACCGAAATCTCACTTATACAGATCTCAGAATTCAGGTAACCAAGTAAAAGTGTGCAAAATGGCCAAGGATGGGCGGGTGACGTTCCTTCAGCAAGATCCTCTGCTTCTGATGTCTGGCCACCCTTCTGGACACAAACGGGGTGGGGTTAGCTGGGTCCTTTTCTGGTGCTGAGCCGACACCTTTTTTGGCTGGAGAGACTCCCAAGCTCACATGATGTCCCTCCCTCTTAACCAGGTTGGTGGTGGCCAGAATCGGGACCCTGCCCTGCAGCACCCATGTCTTGGCCGAGTTCAAGAGGAAGGCAGAAGTTGTGTTTGGGGATCCCACCAAGTGGTCCAGCTCTGACTTGCAGGAACTCGGAACTATTGCCGGTGAGAGTCAGCTTGAACATCAGTGATGAGAGAAGAACCATTCATTGGCTGCCTCCTGCACGCCCCACACTGGTGACTCTTGCAGGAACTCGGAACTATTGCCGGTGAGAGTCACCTTGACCTTGCCCTTCTCCTTTTCTGACCTTAGACCTGGGGACAGGAACAGAATCCTGGGCTTGTGTAGCGACATCTGTATAGTTCCCATAAAACCTGGATGTCAGCACACGAAGTTGCAGAGGATGGGGTCGCAAGTCTGCCTTTTGAACAAGCTCTCTTGGTGGTTTTGTGCACCCAAAAGTGGTTTAGAAGGTGATGGAATTGACTGCTAAATAGGTTTACACTGGATCTGAGAATGCGCCTTCTGAGTATACATTTCACCGTAAGAGACCAATCAGGGCTAATGTGACCCACGGTGTTTTTCTGAGTTGATTAGGACACGGTTCCCAGAGGGGCTCTCAGGACCTTCTGCAGGAGGGACGCGTACCTCCGCCATGCAGACTGCACCTTCTGCAGCATCATTAATAAAACAAGGTGCGTTCCGCTGTCTTGAAGCAAATCCTGTGGTTCCTTTTTCTCCCCAGCGGGATTAACGAAGGAAGAGCTCCGGGTGCTCGACAAGGATTTGATGCCGTATTTCCAACCATCAGCAATCAGATGCCTTCCTGCTGAGATATTCAAAGTAGGTCCTCCGTTTCTTAAGCTTGACCCCATTTCATATCACACCAGGAAGCAGATGGCGGGCCTTGCGTTCTGCAGGCACCGCTGGCTTCTGCTCAGGGGCCAGAGGCGAGCTGCATGCCACTGATGGACGTGTCAAAAGATCATTTCAGTATTTTTTAAAAGAGTTTTTTCTTAAATGTTTAACTTATGTTTTAATTGTATTTATTTATTTTAAAATATATTTTTTAATTGATTTCAGAGAGGAAGGGAGAGAGAGAGATAGAAACATCAGTGATGAGAGAATCATGGATTGGCTGCCTCCTGCATGCCCCGCACTGGGGATGGAGCCCACTACCCAGGCATGTGCCCCGACTGGGAATGAACCGTGACCTCCTGGTTCATAGGTCGATGCCCAACTGCTGAGCGACACTGGCCGAGCTAGTTGTATTTTTTTTAAAAGTTGTATTCTCTTCATAGCAAATGGCACCGACTTTCTGTTTATAATGACATGACAGGTTCATATTCCCTTATCCCAAACCCCTGGGGACAGGTGTATTTTAGAATTCAGAATTTTCTAGATTTTAGAAAGATCACTTTGACTGTACAGTATGTGACTTCACAGCCCCAGCAGTACCTGGGGAAGCACCAGTAAGCACACGCATTGGTATTTCTGCTGGGAAACTGATATTTCTGGCCAGCCACACTAATTGAGATAGAGACTCTAAATGGCTTCACATGCGTTCAGGTCAGGCTCAGCTGGCAAGTAAGTTCGTGTTAAATTTTAGAAAAAACTTTCCATTTGCAGACTTTCTTGGACTTCAGAGTTGGAGATGGGGGGTTGTGGTCCTGGGTAATATTTCCTTTAAAAATACATTTCAGCAAACACATTTGAATTGATTTAAAGAAACGTGTTTAAAAAGCCGCAGTAGGACAGGTGACACGCTACCATGGAAAACACTAGAGGGTGGAACTGGACCACCTGAGGTGAGGGAAGCAGGTGTGCAGGCAGCGGCCCTTGCTTCCTGCCCAGGCGCTGCTGCGGGGAGTGCGCTGGGACAGTCTGCGCTGGTGGGGACTGGCCTGGCGTTCCTGCTGGGTAAGTGGGAGCACATTCCGCCCCCTCAACTGGATCAGACACACAAAGGAGCTTAGACAAACTCCTGATGCCACATTATTGGTTCATTTCAAGACACAAAGCAGGACCTGAACCATTCCCATGCCCAGGACAGCTCCCAGCAGGGCAGGCTCCTGGCTGCTCCGGGGAGTAGTCCCAGAGGCCATTGAGCCCCCTGCCCACCCCCCCTCACCCCGGGGTCTGCCTGGGCAGGCAGCTTGGTCCTGAATGCTGGCACGTTGCTGAGCGCTTGCTCATGGTCTTGTATGGAGTGCAGTCTGTGGTATTAATTCCAGAAATCCCGACTGACCACCTACATTGGCTAGGCTGCAGGCCCAGCGCACCTGGGCCTGCCCGGGGAAGGGCGAGCACAGTGTCTGCAGGGCCTGGAAGAGAGCCTCCGGGGTGCAGGGGGCCGGGTGGGTGGCGGGGACCTGGGGAGGCTGCTCGTCTCTGGCACAGCAGTGCGGGGTGATGGCGGGGTGACGCGGGCCCAGGTGCTGGTCTTCCTTTCCCTGAAATCTCCGAGAATTAAATGTTGGCAGCCACTTTGAATTTGTTTTGTAAAATACAGTGCAGCAGGCCCAGAGGTTCAATCTGGCCTCTGGGTGGCGAGTCAGCAACATTAGAAAAATAATGTTTGTGATACAGACTGTTAATGGTAGATCAAGGTGGAAGCCGGAGCAGCCACGCTGTGTGTGTGTGTGTGTGTGTGTGTGTGTGTGTGTGTGTGTGTGAGAGAGAGAGAGAGAGAGAGAGAGAGAGAGAGAGCAAGCGATACTGACTTCAGGGGGGTCTCCACTGGAGCTCAACTGCCTTTAACGCCTCCATAGCACCTTTAACCTCCGCTCTCACGGGCCGCACGCCAGCGCCCTGTTGGCCAGGAGGCCTGGCTAGAGTTCTACAACGTTGCATTTGTTTGGCTTATTTTAATGGTTACTGATGGTCAGTCAGTCTGGGTTTGCATTTTTGGAACTTTGCATTTAGAAAATGTTTATTTCGGTAGCGAAAGCGCCTGATTTTAAGGAGAAACTGTAAAGCGGGCACGACCCGGTACCCGAGCGCTGCCCTCCCCCACAGGAGCTCTCCGCCCAGCAGATCGCCGCCCTGGGCCCCGAG